AAGCATGTATGGCTGCCGGTGGTATAGTGTTTGGGTCAGCCCTGTATATCACAATACACCATCCCTGTATTATGAGAAATTTGCAGCTTGGTATGCGATTACGTAACTCGTGTTGTACATTAATGTATCAAAAGGTGAGTCCGTATTTACTATGATCTAGTACCTTTACATTTTATTGTTGAAATAGGTGATAACATATCGAGCAATTGATAATATGGAAATGAAATGCTTTTGTGAATGGATATGAAAAATGACACTATTTTACACCTTTTTCAGTTATCTGATTATATATTTGTTGTTGCTACCTGATTATTTAATCAAAAATTATAATCATATAAAAGGTTATCAGAGCAAGCGCAAAGTTTATTAAAAAGATTACGTTTTAACAATTTAATCATTTTATTAATACAGTCAAATCAATTTATATTATACACTAAAATAGTTACTAAAAACTCTTTGAATGTTTAAGAAATGGTAATAACTTATAATAATTTATTATTTAACATACCAGTCCTTACGGTTAAGTCAGGCATCATTGGGAAAGACAACTGTCGGTCAAATCGTGAATATAATGTCCAACGATGTCAACAGATTTGATGAGGTGTGTAGCCAGGGTATCAAAATTTTGAAAAAATGATCTAACCAACCAACACTATTTAGTTTTCCGTAACCATGACCTGCCTATTTGTGGCTCCCATTCAAGCTGTATTAGTAATACTTATAACATGGGAGTACCTTGGTATCTCCAGCATAGTAGGCCTTGCATTGTTTGTCCTATACATACCTTTCCAGTTGATTATGGGAAAACTATTCTCTATGTGCAGGTAACAAAATCTTATTTTATACTATTTAATTAAAAATAATAATACTAACCTTGGTATATAATTTGTTAGGACAAAAACGGCCAAATTAACCGATTCTCGACTCCGATTAATGAATGAGATTATATCGGGTATGCGAGTGATTAAGATGTACACATGGGAGCAGTCGTTTTCGGAACTGGTGGCCAAGGCTAGAAAGTATGTATCAACATATTAATAAAAATAATGTAGACACTACAATTAATAATTAAAAATTCAGTGCTTAATTTAAACTGCATGCAAAAGTTTTTTGTTAACATCCGGAAACCATTTTTGTTTATTATTTAAGTGACTATCAATTGTTATACTAATAATGATTTTAATTTACAGGTTTTAATTTATTTCTTATATTATTATTCAATTAAACTGTAGTTATATTCAATTTAAAGATACAAAATTTGCTTGTTACTAATTTAATTAGACTGGAAGTAAACGACATCCGCAAAGTGTGTTATTTGAAAGCCATCAACTTGTCCCTGTTCCTAATCGCTACCAAGATTATATTGTTTTGTTGTTTTCTCACCTACGTACTTTTGGGAAATATATTAAGCTCCAAAAAAGTATTCGTAACAATGGCCCTGTTCAATATGCTTAGGATCACGTTAACATGGATATTTCCGCAAGGCATCGCACAGGGATCCGAACTATTGGTAACATGTAAACGGATACAGGTACATTTGGAAATATAATTTTCAAATTTGTTTTATTAAATAACATTTTTAAATATAAAAATAGGATTTCCTTGAACTCGACGAGAAGTGTGTTAAACCTAACGGTGCAAATCAAAATGGTTTTGCCAACGGTTTATCTAACGGTGCTTCAAATGTTCATAAACATAGCAAAGGGATCAACATTAATAACTTTGTTAGAGATAGCAAGGTCAGCATTAATAACATTACGGCCAAATGGAGCGAGGTAAAATCTATAAAAATTATTATACATAGGTGATTTCAATAAAAATTAATGTTATCCCAATAATTAACCAGGATATCAAAAAGCCTACATTAGACAACATATCACTGCACCTTAAACCCGGTGACCTACTCGCGGTTATAGGGCCGGTAGGCTCAGGCAAAGTTAGCTTAAACATAAATGACCTTTGCACATAAAATTTTAAAAATAATTTTTATTTGACAGAGCTCATTGTTGATGACAATACTCCAGGAGCTCGAGCTCTTAAGTGGGTCCATACAAATTGAGGGCACCGTTAGCTACTCGGCACAGGAGCCTTGGAATTTCAATAATAGTGTTCGGAATAACATACTGTTTGGTACCGAATACGATGAGCACCGTTATAAACAAGTGGTAGAGGTGTGCGCATTGGCAAGGGATCTAAAATTATTTCCGTACGGGGATCGGACCCTTGTAGGCGAAAAGGGGGTCTCGTTGTCCGGGGGACAAAAGGCCAGGATCAATTTGGCCAGGTATGAATTTGTTATATGGTAGGGGAAAGCCTTTTAATTAATGTGTATTTTCATAGATCATTGTATAGAAACGCCGACATTTGCCTTATGGACGACCCCTTATCGGCGGTGGACGCCTCTGTTGCCGAACATATTTTCGAAAAGTAAGCTAGTTCCATTTATTAAACTATTTTTATGTTAAAGTATTATTTTGGGTTTTTAATGAATTTTATACTTTATTTTAAAACTGTAAATTATGTGTTTTTTAAAAATATGATACTATTATGAGTTTATTTGAGTAGAAAACTGGTGGAAAAAATTAGGTTTATGAATTAAAACTATAAAGTTATATCATTTTCATGATTATTATATCAAAAAATATATTAAGTATTGGCCATAATAAATAGTGTTTTATTTAAACTATAAACATATTATAATTATTTATATTGTTAGGTATTTTATTATTTAATATTTGTTTTTGGAGATTTTAAAGCCAATTACCATAGGTATGATATAAAATTTTATTTTACATTTTATTTGAACTGTTTCATCATTAGTTGAAAAAATAGTAAATAAACTAACAGTATAATTTTTATAACATTGACAACAGTTACAAATGTATTATTATAAGATAATATAAAGGTGTAAAAAATTATAAAAATGAATTTATCCAATCTAAACTTTATATTAAATTATATAAATGGATGTATATACTATTTCATTTTATACATGCATAATAATATAAACAATATATAACATTAAAAATATCACAATTAATTTTACCACACATCCCTCTACTCAGGTGTATTGTGAGCTACCTGTCCAACAAAATCCGTATACTAGTCACCCACCAAATCCAGTTCATACGGAAAGCCACCAAAATCCTGGTGCTCGACGACGGCAAGTGCGTGGGTTTCGGTACTTTCGATGAACTCATAGCCAAAGGCTTGGACTTCATGTCACTCCTGGAGGCGGACGAGGAGGAGGAGGACTCCGACGACCCGGACTCAGCACAAGTGGACGGGGAGTCGAGCACCGGTAGCCAAGAAATACTAGTCCGCAATGGATCGGTGCGATCATCCGTTACCGTAAGGGCGGACTCTATCAGAAAAAGGAGTTTTAAGCGCCAGAAAAGTCAGGCAGTGGTAGGGTATAGCATACCTGACCTCCAGTTCCTTAAATTTATATGTGTTTTGTACGTATAGTCTGAGGCACCGGTCGAGGAGGCGCCGCAAATACAGGACGAGCAGCGCATACAGGGCTCGATCGGGGGTCGGGTGTACTGGGAGTACATCAAAGCCGGTTGTGGACCAATACTGGGTTCACTGACACTACTGTCCACTATTGTATCGCAGGTTATATTTCACGCCTCGGATCTGTGGCTTATGACGTGGTATGTAGTAACCAGGGTTGAAATTTATCATAAGAATAAAATGATATTCTAGTCACCTAGGATAATTTGATGTTGTATTAATGAATTAATAATTAATGAACTAAAATAAGAGTTAGTATTACTGGTTATAATTAAAACCAAGATTAATAGTAGTGAATAAGATGTAATATTTCAATTTTTAAAATAATATAAATTACAGTTTAGATGAAGGTTTTTAAAAAATAGTATTAAAGTTAGATTAATTATTTAATAGATTAATTAAATGTAAATAAGTTAGTATTAAACCAGCATTATATGATGCTTAATAAATAATATAACAATTTTAGGTAAAATTATACTTATACTTACTTATTAGGAAACTATTTTATTTTAAAACTGTAATTCAATCAGTTATAAGCTAGAAGTGTCCGATATACCTTTCACAAATATAGTTACATTTGTTTGGTCGTTTATGGGCTAATCGTTTGTCATTAAGCCTGTAGTAAACCATATTTTAAAATAACATACACTTTTTAACCTATAAACAACCAAACAAATGTAACTATATTTGTAAAAGGTATATCGGACACTTCTAGCTCATAACTGAATTCAATTATTTATCAAGAATATATTATTTAACTAAAGTATATTTGTTGAACCTTTGGTACCGATGACAACCTTGAAATAACACTAAAAATTATTTTTACTTTATAAAATGATCAAGCAAGTAACATGTTTTATATTATTAGGACAAACAACGAGGGCACTCAATCGGAGGAGAAAAACAACTTTGCCCTGATCATATACTCGGTGCTCATCATAGCCCTACTACTGTCCACAATGGTCCGGTCCATGACATGGTTTGCTATTTGTATGATAGCATCCAAGAGGTTACACAACACTATATTCATACGACTATTGAGGGCACCGATGGCTGTATTTGACAACAACCCCATCGGACGTATCCTAAATAGGTTTACCAAAGACCTGGGTAAAGTGAAATTGATAACAAAACTGATTGAAAATCTTTTTCATCGATTTCACGTATATTTCGTAATCATAATAATTAAAATGCTTTGCGTTTCACCTGTCGGCGCATCTACCGGTGCTGTCTATATAGTTAAATAAATGTTTATTTATTTTATATATAATTACTTAAGATTGTGAGCACAAGAAAGTTGTTGTGTAAACACCCCTTTCCCATGAAATATAAGTTATAAAATGTTTATAAAAAACAATTAATATTTTTTCTTGCTTATATTACCCGGTGTTTCACATTTAATTAGTTTATTCACAATAAAACTTTGAAATATAATGAACTCTTTTACCATTCATTATAATAAATAATATCTTCTTTTTGTTGTTTATTTTTGTAATTATAAAAGTTATTTATAATATTATATGACAAGTTCCTTTATACAAAGTATAAATATAAAAACTATTTACCAATATTAAGTTATTTTATTTAAAAAAATAATTTGTGAACACATTTACTAATATAATAATTATAATGGAAGTCGAGAGCAAAATAAAAGCCAAATCCAAATGGGATTCAATAAATATTTTACAAAAAATATTTGTAACGTAAGTTAGATTTAAAATTTTTTAAAAATGCTAATTATATTTAAAATATTTTATAAAAATTTAAAATTTAAAAATTAATTTTATAGATGGCTTTACCCTCTATTTCTGAGGGGTTGGCGAAAGGAAAGCCTAGATTTTGATGACCTAACCCGGTGCTCAAAGGATGATGAGGCCCTTAAGATAGTCACCAAATTGGAAAGGTAGGCCAGTTTTTAATTAATTAAATTAATATTACTATAAAATATATGAATTCATAAAGGAACTGGAACAAAGAGCTACTGAAACCTAAACGTAGATTCTGGTGGGTGCTAATCAAAACATACGGTGGTCAGTTTGCGTTTCCGGTGCTTATTTTTGGGCTCGGGGTAAGTTTTTATACAGATTAATTTTAATGTAATATAAGATGGTAATTTATATAAAATTTTATTTTATTTTCTAGGAATGTATAGTCCGTATAGGACAGCCTTTATTATTAGGCTTTGTAGTGGACTATTTCAGCGGGGCCACCTATCTGACCTACCAACAAGCATGTATGGCTGCCGGTGGTATAGTGTTTGGGTCAGCCCTGTATATCACAATACACCATCCCTGTATTATGAGAAATTTGCAGCTTGGTATGCGATTACGTAACTCGTGTTGTACATTAATGTACCAAAAGGTGAGTCCGTATTTACTATATCCTAGTACCTTTGTATTTTATTGATAAAATGAGTATATGATGACATATTGAACAATAAATGCAATCGCAATGAAATGCTTTTGTGAATTAATATAGAAAATTAGGATCTTTGTACTTTGTACTAGTTAGTTTGCACCTGTTTTACGGTTATCTGATTGTATCTTTATTATTGCTACCTGATTATTTGATCCAAAAAAATTATAGTCTTTTAAAAGGTTATCTGAGCGAGTACAAAGTTTAGAACAAAAAGATTATTTTTGAAATTTAAACATTTTATCAATACAGTCTAATCAATTTATATAATACACTAAAATATTTGCTAAAAACACTTAAAATCTTTATGAAATGCTAATAATTTATTATTTAACATACCAGTCCTTAAGGTTAAGTCAGGCATCACTGGGAAAGACAACTGTCGGTCAAATTGTAAACATTATGTCCAACGATGTCAACAGATTTGATGAGGTACATAATCAGATTATTTAAATTAAATAAAAAAATTAATCTAATCACCCAACACAATTTAGTTTTCCGTGACCATGACCTGCCTATTTGTGGCTCCCATTCAAGCTGTATTAGTAATACTTATAACTTGGGAGTACCTTGGCATCTCCAGCATAGTAGGCCTTGCATTGTTTGTCCTATATATACCTTTCCAGTTGATCATGGGCAAACTATTCTCAATGTGCAGGTAACAAACTCTTAATTTATACTATTTAATTAATTTAATTAAAAATAATAATACTAACCTTGGTATATATAATTTGTTAGGACAAAAACGGCCAAATTAACCGATTCTCGACTTCGATTAATGAATGAGATTATATCGGGTATGCGAGTGATTAAAATGTACACATGGGAGCAGTCGTTTTCGGAACTAGTGGCCAGGGCTAGAAAGTATGTATCAACTTATTAATATAAAATATTGTAGACACAAAAATTAATAATTAAAAACTCGCATTTAAACTGCATGCAAAATGTTTTTGTTAACATCCGGAAACCATTTTTGTTTATTATTTAAGTGACTATCAATTGTTATAATAATATTGATTTTAATTTACAGTTTTTAGTGTATTTTATATTATTCAATTAAACTGTAGTTTTATTAATTTTAAAGGTAATAAATTGACCTGTAACTAATTTAATTAGGCTAGAAGTAAACGACATCCGCAAAGTGTGTTATTTGAAAGCCATCAACTTGTCCTTGTTTCTAATTGCCACCAAGATAATATTATTTTGCTGTTTTCTCACCTACGTACTTTTGGGAAATATCTTAAGCTCCAAAAAAGTATTCGTAACAATGGCCCTGTTCAATATGCTCAGGATCACGTTAACATGGATATTCCCGCAAGGCATCGCACAGGGATCTGAACTATTGGTAACATGTAAACGGATACAGGTACATTTGGAAATATAATTTTCAAATTTGTTTTATTAACTAACATCTTTAAATACAAAATAGGATTTCCTTGAACTCGATGAAAAGTGTGTTAAACCTAACGGTCCGAATCAAAATGGTTTTGCCAACGGTTTATCTAACGGTTCTTCAAATGGTTATAAACATAGCAAAGGGATCAACATTAATAACTTTGTTAGAGATAGCAAGGTCAACATTAATAACATTACGGCCAAATGGAGCGAGGTATAATTTACAAAAATTATTATACATAGGTGATTTCAATAAAAAAATAATTTTATCCCAATAATTAACCAGGATATCAAAAAGCCTACATTGGACAACATTTCACTGCATCTTAAACCCGGTGACCTACTCGCGGTTATAGGGCCGGTAGGCTCAGGCAAAGTTAGTTTAAACATAAATAACCTTTGGACATAAAATTTTTAAAATAATTTTTATTTGACAGAGCTCATTGTTGATGACAATACTCCAGGAGCTCGAGCTCTTAAGTGGGTCCATACAAATTGAGGGCACCGTTAGTTACTCGGCTCAGGAGCCCTGGAATTTCAATAATAGCGTCCGAAATAACATACTGTTTGGCACCGAATACGATGAGCACCGGTATAAGCAAGTGGTAGAGGTGTGCGCACTGGAAAGGGATCTAAAATTATTTCCGTACGGGGATCGGACCCTTGTAGGCGAAAAGGGGGTCTCGTTGTCCGGGGGACAAAAAGCCAGGATCAATTTGGCCAGGTATGAATTTTGTATATGATAGGGGAAAGCCTTTTTTAATTAATGTGTATTTTCATAGATCGTTGTATAGAAACGCCGACATTTGCCTTATGGATGACCCCTTATCAGCGGTGGACGCCTCTGTTGCTGAACATATTTTTGAAAAGTAAGCTTGTTCAATTTATTAAGCTATTTTTATATTAAAGTAAAATATTTGGTGTTTTAATAAATTGTTGTACTTTATTTTAAAACTGTAAATTATGCGCTTTTAAAAAATATGATACTTCTATGAGTTTTATTTAAGTAATAACTGGGATATGCTAGTAATTTTATTAATTAGCACTGTAATTTAACAGTTATATAATTTTCATGATTATTATATTAAACAAAATATTAATTATTTAATAATAATTAAAAGTATTTTATTCAAAATGTAAACATACAGTATAATTATAAATTATAATAATTTATATTGTTATTTTATTATTTAATATTTGTTTACGAGAATTTTAAAACTATTGTTTAGCATGGGGATAATAATATATGAAATTATTTTATTTTTAATTTTTTTAAACTGTAATATCATGGTTTCAAAATTCATGTTTGAATTAAAAGTATTTAGTTTTCAAGTTTGGAAATTCCCACAATTATCATTCAATATGCTGTAAACAAATATTTATAACAAATTAACCATCATCACTTTTAAACTATATTATAACATTGGTTTCATAGTTTGGTGATTTTTTACATGCATAATTTACATATAAACAATACAATTAATTTTATCACACATTCTCGCGAACAGGTGTGTCGTGAGCTATCTGTCCAACAAAATCCGTATACTAGTGACCCACCAAATCCAGTTCATACGGAAAGCCACCAAAATCCTGGTGCTCGACGACGGCAAGTGCGTCGGTTTCGGTACTTTCGATGAACTCATAGCCAAAGGCTTGGACTTCATGTCACTCCTGGAGGCCGACGAGGAGGAGGACTCCGACGACCCGGACTCAGCCCATGTGGACGGGGAGTCGAGTACTGGTAGCCAAGAAATACTAGTCCGCAATGGGTCGGTGCGATCATCCGTTACCGTAAGGGCGGACTCCATCAGGAAAAGGAGTTTTAAAAGACAGAAAAGTCAGGCAGTGGTAGGGTATAGCATACCTGACCTCCAGGTCCTAAATTAATATGTGTTTTGTACGTATAGTCTGAGGCACCGGTCGAGGAGGCGCCGCAAATACAGGACGAGCAGCGCATACAGGGCTCGATCGGGGGTCGGGTGTACTGGGAGTACATCAAAGCCGGTTGCGGACCAATACTGGGTTCGCTGACACTACTGTCCACTATTATATCGCAGGTTATATTTCACGCCTCGGACCTGTGGCTTATGACGTGGTATGTAGTGACCAGGGTTGTCATTTATCATAAGAATAAAATGATAGTCACCTAGGATATTTTGATGTTATATTATATTATATGAATACAGTAGTATTAAAGTTAGATTAATTATTTAATAGCTTAATTAAATGTAAATAGTATTAAATGAGCATTAAATGATGCTTAATAAGTAATATAACAATTTTAGGTGAAATGATACTTAGGAAACTGTTTTATTTTAAACTGTAATTCAATTATTTATCAAGAATATATTATTTAACTAAAGTATATTTGTTGAACCTTTGGTACCGATGACAACCTTGAAATAACACAAAAAATTATTTTTACTTTATAAATTGATTGAGCAAGTAACATGTTTTATTTTATTAGGACAAACAACGAGGGCACTCAATCGGAGGAGAAAAACAACTTTGCCCTGATCATATACTCCGTACTCATCATAGCCCTACTACTGTCCACAATGGTTCGGTCCATGACATGGTTTGCCATTTGTATGATAGCATCCAAGAGGTTACACAACACTATATTCATACGACTATTGAGGGCACCGATGGCTGTATTTGACAACAACCCCATCGGACGTATCCTAAATAGGTTTACCAAAGACCTGGGTA